CACTGAGCTAAATCCCTGGCCCCTGGTTTTATTTATCTTTACAATGCTGGAGATGGAACTCAGGGCCTGACACATGCTAGGCAAGTGCTCTACTACTGAGCTCTACCCTAGCTTTTGGGTTTGACACTTGAAGGTGCCACCTCTGGGAGTTTTCTGACACTGTCCTGTAATGGACGGAATGCTGGCATCCATAAGTCCCTGCCAAGCTTAGGAAGTCAGTGCCCAGGGCAGAAGGGTCCCACGAAGACAGATGGCTAAAGCCTGGGCTCTCTGACAATTCCAACCTTTCACCTCACACACTGCCCTACCAAGCCCCAGGGACACAGCAGGGAAGATAGATCTGTCCTCACCTGGCCTTCCAGTCGGGGCCTGGCAACAGTTGTGGTGACACTTGCTCTGTAGAAGGTATCGTAACTTCTTCTCTCCTCATGTGTGGTAGAAATAATGCTTCACTGGGAGGTCATAGAGAAACCCTGGCTTGCAGGGAGCGAGAAGACAGCTGGAGAGCATTTCAGACCATGCAGGCCATGAGCAGGAGCAAGTGGAAGAGACCCAGGCCCGGGGTGTGGCCACCCTCAATAGGTAGAGTTGTTGGGGCCCAGGAGGGACCCTGAGATGACCAAATGAGCACGCTGGGACTGATCGAAGGGAACGTTGTGCTGCTGGTGGGTGGGTGTGAGCAGGAAGGTACTGACTGGGCTGCAGGTTGGGGTAGGGTGGTTAGCAAGTAAAAGAGGGTATCTAGCAGTGGGGAACAGCAGGTAAAAAGCATAGGGCCATACATGCCTGGAATTCCAGCTACTGGAGGAGGCAAGAAGATCACAAGTTCATGGCCAGGCTGGACCACAGTGAGAGAACAAAACAAAAAACAACAAATAATAAACAGATGATAAGGGGATGTAGCTCAATTGTAGAGCTCATAGGTTCAATCCTCTGTGCTGAAAAAGAAAGAAAAAAAACCCAAGGACGCACAAATAAACGAGGAGACTCCATGGCCTGAGGACGACCATGCTGAGCCCATGGGTGCAGGGTCTGCGGGCCTGAGGCAGTAGAGGGTTCTCCTGGCCCCCAAGTGCCACGGCTGGGGCTGCTGTTTCTGGAGAACACCACCTGCATCTCTCTGATTCTCTTGGCATTAGCTCTAGCCAGTCTTTCAACACTCTTGGGGCAGCTTTCCCAGTCCTGAGGCTGGGGAGCTGTGACCCAGGAGAATACAGGGGCCCGGGAGGGGTTGTGGGCAATCCCCCAAAGTCCTCAGGGCCTGGGAATTACTGAGGTTGCCAGGCTCCAGGAGGGGGAGACCCTGCGGGAACAATCCCGGCTCTGTCCACTTGTTTTCCACGGACTCAGGCCAAACCAAACCACTGCCGAGGCCAGTTAGGCTTCCAACCAATCCGGGTGGCATTCTCAGACTCCTCCTCCCTTTCTCAGACCCCTACTCCACTCCCTGAGGACCCCAGTCCAGGCCCCCAGACTCCTCCTTCCGAAGAACTCAGCAGCTTGAACCCTAGAATGCTCCTCCCTTAGACTTGAGTCTGTGCCCTAATTCCTTCTCCTTAAAACCTAGAAGTTCGGTCCCCAGCCCTGTCCTCTTACAATCTGAGCTCCAAACTCCTGGTTGGTAGTGGGCGCCCCCTGGTGGAGGCCAGAGTGGTCCATCCTGTGCCCCGGTCGAAGGCCACAGTCTAGCGAGAGACACTCAGGCTGCAAGAGCGTAGGAGATCCGGAGGGTAGATTGGGACATTTTGTAACTAGAGGTGGGAATAGAGGAAGCTGAAGGCAAAGGTGACGCCACTGAAGGTTAAGCTTCAAAACCTCTCCTTGCCTGGCTTTCTGTGGTTCTCTACTTAAATTTGCACATGTAATTTTTTTTCTTTTTCTTTTTTTCTGGGGATGGAACCCAAGGTCTCCTAAGCAAGCCCTCTACCACTGAGCCACACTCCTAGTCCCTAACTTTGCCCCTCACCCTTCTGGCACAGTACTAAGGATTGAACCTAGGGCCTCTGCACTGAGCCATATCACTAGGCCTTTTTTATTTTGAGACAAGGTCTTACTAAGTCATTGCGTTTCCCAGGCTGGGCTTGAACTTGTGATCTTTCTACCTGAGTCTCCCAGAATGCTGGGATTACAGACCTCGACCTCCACATCCAGCTCCCTAATTCTGTACCTCTTCAAAAGAGGACTACAAAAATATATAAGGTTCAGATCCACCAAATCATCACAATCTCTGAGGGACTTAATCAGTATGATCACTTCATCCATGAATTTAAAGAGTGGGCCTATGGCTAGGTGTGGTGATGCACACCTGTGATCTCAGCACTGGGGAGGCTGAAGCAGGAGGACCCCTGTGAGTTTGAGGCCAGCCTGGGCTACACAGTGAGTTCAAGGCCAGCTTGAACTACAAAGTGAGACTCTGTCTCAAAAACAAAAACAAAATAAAGGAACAAAAGCCATGAGGTATTTCTGTTTTGTAATAAGAAAGGCAGTGATTATTACTCATTAGTAGCTTGTTGGTGTTGTTTGGTGGTGGTGGTGTTCTTTGGTGATGGAGGACTTGGAGACTCCCAGTGAGTGGATACTATGAAGTGTACGTTTGGCAATTCTTTCCTTGTTGTACACAAGAACTTGGGACTATTTTTTGGCCCACTCAATAGTAACAGGGGGTACTGAGCCTCGAAGAGCTGTCACTTGTTAAGAACCAGTCAGCAGTCAGTACCGCTTTGAATCTAGGTGAGATCTCCACCCAGCTCACTGGTAGCAAAGTCTCAAGTTTTTTGTCTTCTTTAGCCTCCAAGGCATCCTGTCTGGGGCCACCCTCAGAACGTGTACAGGTTTGGAGCGGCAGGAAGCTACACTGCTAATGAAAAACCCTGGAGTTCCTAAAAGCCCTCGAAGCACAGTCATGAAGGACCACTTGGGAAACATGGAAGCTCCCAAAGTTAGGCTGCCCCAAAGTATGGGGAGTTGGGCATGAGAACCCTGAATAGGAACCCTCAATGGACAAAGACTCCTGGGACTTGATGGAGGAAAGGTGGTGTGCAGAGTTACCTACGGGCGTTGGCCAAAGTTCCTTATCTGCGAATGTGGTGGCCAGAGAAGTCCCTTTAATGCAGGGAGGCATGGTTCGAGTGGGACCTTTTCACACGTTACGGTGGCTGGAAAAGCTCAAGAAACATGGAATGAAAAAGACTGAAAGAATTCGCAGGTCGAAGCGGGCAGGATGGCATGGAAGGCTCAAATAATTCGAAAAGGCTGTTACTTAGAGGAGAGTGAATGAATAGAACTTGTGGGAAACGCATATGTTAGTTCAGAAAATTCAGGGACTTCAGAGGACTTAGTATCTTTACCAGCGAAAACAAATTGTGGGGGCCGGGTGAATACGGTGGCCAGGTTGGTCCTTTTGTAGCCGGAAGTGGCTCTTCCGAAAGGCGTGGGTGAGGCATTTTAGCCAGATACGGTGGCCCAGTGGCTCGGTCCATTGTGAAATCTCGCGCGATCGCGCTGACGCTATCAGGGACGGGGCGGGGCTGGCGGCGGGGGCGGGGACCCGGAGCGGGAAGATGGCGGCGGCGCAGGAGGCGGACGGGGCCGGCAGCGCCGTGGTGGCGGCCGGAGGAGGCGGCTCCGGTCAGGTACGGAGGCCGAGAGGGGCCTGAGGGGGCACTTCCCCAGGAGGGGGCCCTCCCAGGGAATGTGTCTTGCCCCTCTTCGCGGACTCTGGTGCACTGGAGTCTCCTTGCCCAGAGGGACCTTGAATATCGGGCCCAGACGAGGCCGGGCCGTCCAGGAGCGCGGGCCGTCCGGGAGGCCAGACAGTGGCGGGAGCCGTCCCTGTTGCGAGCCTGGTCCCCTGCACGCTCGCGCCGAGGTCCACCAGGCTCAGTGCTCGAGTCAGGGAGACAGTGGCGTGGAGAGGCGCAGACTTGTACGCAGTGGATCTGGGTTCTTGACTCTGATTCCATGATCTAAAGCAATTCTTAGAGTGGTCTGGCGTTCAGGCTCGGCTCACATGTCTGAGATGTGGGCGCTGGTTAACCGCGAGCTTTCTAGCTCTGGGGAAATCAGGTAATCATCGTGGGTGAGGGCACGGACTGTGGAGACCGACGGACCCATTTTACAGACAGGAATCCGAGTAACAGCGAGACTGTGGTGCTTGCAGGAGGTCACCCAGGATAAGTTTGGCATCCATTCCATGTAGAAGCTGACCCAGGCTGGTCCGGACTGGGATGGGGTAATGAATGCTTTCGGCATAAACTGGTCCTTTGGGGAACTGGTCCTGATGCAGATGACTTTTGACCAGTTGCTACCTAAACTAAACTGAGACTGCAGAACACACCAGTTCAAGCAGGCACCATTCAGGCATCTGGGGAATCGATGGAGTGACAGCAAGGTGCTGTCGATCCACCCACTGGGATGTCGCTTACGTGGGAGGCAGCTCAGGGAGAGGAGTGCGGGTTGTTGGGAGGGGAGAATGAAGCTGACTCTGTGACCTTGGCCAAGTTCCTTTTCCTCTTCGGGCCTCCATGTCTCCAACGGTTAGTGAGTTGGA